TCTCTCTCTCTCCCTTCTTTTTACACTAGTGGTTAAGTGAGCTTCCCGAAAATCTCAAAATTGCAAATTATATTTTTAGTTTTGTATGTTTGTGCGCGTGTACGAGGAAATTTAGACGGAAGATTTCGCTCTATTGGAGATATTGTAATTGTCGCAGGACAGAAAGAGTAATGATGATGATGATGATGATGATGATGATGGAGAGATGATTGAGGGTGGTTTGGTTGAATTGGCAAGGAATATTTTGAACTCTTTTAAAATTTATAGTTATTTCTCTCAGCTTTCCTTCTCTTCCTTACACCTGTGACCTTTCAATAAGTGCTCTTTACCTTTTCCTTCACCTGACTCATCCATTCTAATAAGTACTTCCTGGGTATTTACGTATCTTATTGCTAATTACCAATTTTAGTTTGTTTCCATTTTTCATAACATTTAGGGATGATTGATTTTCAAATACCAATACACAGTAGTATCATAATTATGAATACCTAATGCTTCATTTGCATTTTGTCCGCATGACAATCAGTGTCATTTTTTGCAAATTTTATGATGAGTTATAGTGACAAATGACTTTACGTAGTTGAAAAGTATTTCCGCCTCTAATAGTAATGTCTTTCGATAAGAAAGAGTGCATCTTACTGAAAGTATTCTAAGTAAATTGCAATTGTTGGTTCTAATTATTCGACATTGCAGTCTTCAGAAAATGCGCTTTTGGTATATGAATTTGAATAGAATGAAATGGAAGGGTTAGGAATATTCATTTAAACAAACTTCATGAATCAAAAACCGGGTAGAAAAAAAACTGGAATTGCCAAGAATAATTTAAAAGCATTAACTAACTCTCTTTGGGTAAAATTACAAGCACCACCTTTCTGAAGAAATGACAAATTAATGAGTAAAGGTAGAAATCTGGAATTATTTGGAGGGGAAAAAAGAAAGCCGACATGGTAAAATGGAATGTAATCATTACTAAATAGGAAAGACGACATTATTGCTGCTGTATGATGAACTCTCTGTACTCTCCGCATAGCCAAAAGATGGACAGATAATTGTAATTTGCTAATTAGTACTTACATATTTGTGTATTGGATCTTTTTCATGTGGCAGAGGTGCATTTTTTATGTTTCAATTACTGTATTAGTGTTGTTTGTCGTCACTGCCATTAAATTGTCACGGTGATAAAGTATCAAAGATGGGAAATGATATCACTGTTTGTTGTTTGTTTATTTAGCAATTTATTCTCTTTTCATACATTTACTTTACTATGGCATTTAAAGTTTTTGAATTATTTATTTGCACAGCATACTTACAATATGTTTTACAGCGAAGATCTGATTTTGATCGCGATGGCTTCTGGGACTGGCCATCTGATTGGCCTCGGATGGATGCCGTGATGCCAAGGGTATGCTATCATTTTTAGTTGAAACGTTCGGATATCTAGACTGTTTCCTATCTGATTTGATAATTTAATTTTCCTTAGGAATAACAAACTGAAATTTCAAGAACAGCTCGGAAAGAAGCGGTAGGAAAAGAAACCAAATATGTCACAAATATACTTATGGATGTGTCGTAGTAAACAGCTTTAGTTGCAACTGTTTTTAAATAAATAAAAACTTCCTTTTATTCTCTCCCTAACTTCCTATACCGGTCTGTCCCGCAATTCGGAACGAGTGGTAGCTAACATTTCAAACTCTATCATTTTTACGAACAACAACAGTTTCACGTTTATAATTCATCATCAAAGTTTAATTTCTTTTTTTCTTTTACTTTATTATGAGATGCTGTTATATCTTGTCTGTTATAAACAATATACAACATGAATTAGCGTGGACCTGAGGACCTATTTTTAAAAGATTGAATAGGATTTTAACTTCGAAATTTCCCGATCAAATTCTTTAAAATTTCAGTTTTCCTCACATCTTGATCGTTTGGATCGTAATTGGCGTTCTGATCCATTCTGGCGTGATTTATATCCAGGGTGGGCAGAACCAATTTTCAAAGAAGGTATCGATATTCGTACAAATATTATCAATGATACGTCACGTTTTGCCGTGGAAATTGACGCGTATCAATTTCGACCAGAGGAGATAAAGGTTTGCTTCTTGGTTTCATTCGAATTGTCTGTAACTTCTTGAATAAAAAACTTTTAAACCGTTTCTTTTAATCTCTCGTATCTTTTACAACATAGTGTGATGAATTTAAGTTTTAATGAAGAACTGTTTGAGAAACTTAAAATAATTTTGTTTCTTACAATCTAAAATATTAGCTGAATGATGTTGTGTATTTGAGGTGAAAACAATAGATGACACATTGTTGATCGAAGGTCGACATGAAGACGTTCGTGATCGTGACAATTTCACAAAAATGTATTTCGTGCGTAAGTATCAGCTACCGCTGGACGTAAATCCCATGGATATCTTAAGCACCCTTGACAGTACAGTTAGTTTCGGCGACTCAACTGTTCCGGATTACAACTGTTCCGGATTATATATATATTTCCTCAAACTATCAATTAACTTACTCTTCGGCTAAACTCACTATATAAGTCAATTCCTCTCTGATTGTAAAAATTAATTTGAAATCTCATTGTTAATCAATATAACAACAAGCTCATCAACTCATTAACTGAATTTTCAGTGACAGATATTATAGGGTCGTCTACTTGTTGAAGCAAGGAAACAATCACAAGTTCAAGGACGTGGACGTATGATTCCAGTAGAGGGACCGTCACGGCACGGTGAAGTTCGCATGCCACGAAATGATGCTATACGAAGTCATGATGACTCTAGTTAATTTTTGTAGACCTATTTAGGCTCCCATAGATACCAGTCACCAACTTATTTTATGTCCACGATGCATGCGAGGCGGGTCAAAAACGAAAAAAGAGGACATATATTGGAATTCTTCAATTTCTTCAAACGAATATACCTTAGAGGCTTTCTTCGGAAAGGAAAAAAAGACCCAGCAGATAGGGTTTAATTTAGGACATTGGAATTTTTGAATTTTTTTCCTATAGGTTCATATGGATCGCGAGTGCAGCAACAATCAACACCTAGTCATCGTTCACAGAGTTCTTATTCTTACAAGCACAGTCGAACAATTACCGGTGGCTCACCAAGCGGCATTTATCGCGAACACAGCGTCCCAATCACTGAAACCGGAATGAGTTCACGAGCTGTCGAAAAAAAAGCTTCTGGTTGCTATATTTCAACAAATAAAAATTGTTTTAATGGAGATCTAGAATTTCAGCTTATTTGCAAGAATTAGTGGATTTTGAGCATTTAAATTTAAACAGGATTAGGAAAAGCGAATGGAGGAAAACACTGCGATGCTTGATTACTTCCATGTACCACCAAAATTCCAAAATTATTTCTTTAATTTATGAGGTGAGTTTAAACAAATTAGTTGGGAGATTCCTCAAAAATAGCTTAAATTAGTTGGAAGACTAGAGCCATAACAAACTTTAGCCATAATTGTCAAAATTTCAGAAGAATTTCATTCTCATGAAAGACATGAAAAGGATGAGTATCGCTCGGAATCCAGAAATGATTATCGCAGTCAGTCATCCAGACAAGACAGCGGTTTCCAAGACAGTGTTTCTTCATCCATTAAACAAGATGGGAGTCCACGGAAAGGTGATACAAATCCCAATAATGTTCGTAATGTGCCGATTCTTCGAAAAACATTTAAATAAACTCAAATTTCTGAATACTTTGATGTAATACAAGTAGAATCTCTCATGGAAAAAACAGACCTTATCTTCTGAGGGATCACGAGTCATTTTCACGTTGTTCACTTCAATTTATTAGTGTTAGCAATAGAAATATCACCACCGATTACTTATCTGCATAATATTGTTAAAATCTATTTTCAATAAGTAAATCATAAGAAAAAATATCGGGATATCGAAGAAAAAATTAAAACTGGGCATATCAAATCCGCTTGTCTGCTTACAGTACCATCATTTCTTCTGCTTTCTTCCAACATTACTAAATTACAGTGGATTTTTCATTTATTTTTGTCGATTATTATATTCAAACATTAAGAATGACTTATTGTAATGTAATAAACTTTCCTTTATTTAAATACATACTTCTTACTGAAGCCCGGCAATATCTATGAAACACGATTTCCCCGATTAGTATGAGTCAACATAACGCATCGCCAGTTCGTATCCTTCATGAGGGGGATTACTGCATGAAGAAAGGAAGGAGAAAGGTACAATCCCTCTGATGATAATGACATGATATCAGCTCGTAGTTAAGGTGGATATTCAACCGAAATATTGTATAAATCACAAAAAAAGCTTAAGTAGCACACAGTCTACAGTACGTACTGTGAAGCTCAAATTGCTTTGTCGATATTCTTCTGCAAGCAAATTACTAACCGCTTAATATAAAGCATACACCTCCGTCTTTTTGGAAAGTGCTGTACGAACTACCATGCTATGATTCTATACTGATGTGATGTGATCCACTCATAGGACACAATTCTGAATCTATAAAGTGGTATAACACTCGAAACATTACATAAGCAGAGTCTGTACACTCAATTGTCTAGAAATATAAAATATTTCAGTAAATTGTGCCACATAACCTGCGGTACGCATCTTTTTCCGAGATATGAATTACTACGCAGCATTACAGTTTTAGATTTTCCTGCTCAAACTGATTATTTAACTGATTATTCAATTTAACTGGAGGCAACATTGCTCTTTCAAACTGAAATATAACAATAAACTTTCCTCGTTAAAAGTCAAACATACACAATTCTAGAAAAATAAACAACGTTAGAGTGATCTTTATATAATGAGGTATTCACATCAAGAAATATTAGACCAAAAAACATGCCACTGTGAGCAGCAGATCCTGTTCATACTCCCATCATAATAGGCAAGACTATGTTTTCCTTACAAACATAAGGACCATATAGCAATGAACTACAAAATAGTACATCTTTTCAAAGAAATTTTTGTGAAGTGGATGAAGCAAAGCGGGAATTAAGTTGCCCACAGCGCTCCTTGATCGCATCTGCATTCAAATTTTCCGCTCGTCCAAAAGTATGGTTCTGAAAAAAAATATGACACTCCCGCTTCTGAAAATTAGCTGAAAGAAAAAGATTTTGCACTCCATAGCTGATCTAAAGCAACCAACTTTACAACTGAAGCAAAAATAAATGAACAAACAGAAAAGGACTAAAAATAACTCACGTCTAAATCCTTACTTCGGTCAAATGGCCGCCGTGTTGCTGCAATTGTCCCCTAAAAAAATATACAATTGAATATTTCAGATTCGAACACAATGAAATTCTGTACCTCACTGCACTATGGTACTCTAATGAAAATAAAATATATCTCGAAAGGTGAAAATAGCAACAAAATAATAACACAACCGAATCATACAATGAAAACCAACTGAAATACTATTTGTTATAATCATAAAAAAGTTGTACATTCTCATCGGTCACATATTTTCGCTTTCTTTGGTGAACATCCACCAATGACTCTACACCACCTTTCTGTAAAAGAAAAAAATCAATCGAGAAACGACAGCGAAATTGACAATTATTTGCACTCGTAATACTATATAATTCAAATGGATCCCTTTTGTCACAATGTTTGAAGTGTAGAGTTCGTATTTTTGCAATACTTTTGAATATAGGGAAAAAGATGCTTCTCAAAATATTCACTCAAGGATCAATCGAAAATCAAGCAAAATAAGAGACTGGATATTAGAGATCATAAACATACTTCCAAAGCTGCTATAACTTGAGTCTGACCGGCATCAACATCTCTGTTACATTGTGTTTCAAAAGATAACCCACTCGGTCCAGCATCAGATGGACCACTTCGTTCCTTTAGGGTCAAAAAAAATTTAAAGTGAGCCTGCTTACTTAGTTATTGGAATTGACAATTTAGTGAAGGATTAACTCCTGTTCCTGCACTTGCATGTAAGCAAGTCGTAGGGAGAAGAATTTTAAAGCAGCAATAAACAATACATTTTATAAACGGTATAAAGAGAAGCAAATAAAAAGGAGATAGTCGTACCAACCAACTATTAATAAATATACGATCATTCAGAAACTCCAATAAAACAAAAATCTTTCGAGGAATTTCATACGAAAGCAATCATTACCAATCGCTTTTTCCTTTCTATTGGAGTTTCAGTCCAATCAAGTTTTGCTTTTTCGACTGCAGCCAAGTCTTTCTTTAGTGAAAATGTTTTGGTCGATAAACCGTAAGAACCAAAAGACTTCGGTGGTTGTGTCATCCATTCTGGTCGTTTGCATGCAGACCTCTTAAAGTCACAAATTTTCAGATCCAGTCGGAAAAAGAATCAAAAGTATAAGCCAATTTTTAGTATCTAGCCGACAAAATTCTTTGTTACCTTGATCGCTTGCATCATTTCCAGACGCACTAATCTCTCTGCATATTCATCGTCTGCATTTCTTTTTTGTTCCCAAGGAGGAATTGGACCTAAACACAAGATGTCTCAGTTCAACATAAAGATCTGAAAAAACAATTTTCAAATTTAAAAAACAAACTGCCCTCAATATTTAGGTGGTACCGATTAAAAAACAAAATTTTCGAAAATTAAGCAATGAAAGCAAAGATTCGGACCAAAAACGCCATTGCTATCACCATCATTATCGTGACCGCAAGTTTCATCATCAGTGGGTACTTCAACATCAAAGTCTTTTCCAGCGGATGTTGACGGTTTATTTTGCAAATCATAAGGTACTGCTGGACCGTAAATATCGCTGCTGTCCTCTTCATCTTCATTCTAAAGTTAGACCTTGATTACACGATGTAAAAAAAATGATATTATACAATTCGAAAGCAGAGAAACAAAAAGACATACTCCTAAATTGGCAACTGTTGGAAGCAGATCTGGCATTGACGGACCAATTACTCTTTTCGACGGGTAGTCTACACTTGAAGAATGAGTTTCTCCAGGTTCCGGAGGAGGCAATAAAAATTTTCTGTAAAAAGAAACCGAATACCAAGTGGAACATACACTATTGGATATATCATTATGCCAAATTGCTTATTTTGAAGATTCAAGAAATTCCAGACTTAGCACCTTATCCATATCAAGAAAAAGCGATGATTGGATAGAGCTGAAACTTTACGGGATATATTCCCAAGGAGAACGAGTAAATTGACAAAACACTGCAGTGTATAGGCTTAGTAAGACTAGATTGTCTTAGTTACGAAAACTTTAGATTGGAGGCGTTAGATACTATCATATGCGTAAAATATGGTATTGTTC